CCTTCTCTCCACTCTGCCCTAAGGGGAACCCAGGGTGTTGGTGGGTCAAACCAGAGCCCAGTAGCGTATGTTCGAGTCGGAGGGGAGGGCCTAGGCCTTGCGATAGCTGACACTGGAGGGGCAATTCAAAGGCGATTTCGCTACATGAAAAGAGAGACACAACCCCCGAGAACTATAGTGAATGTGAATTTAAACTTGAAAATAATCGAATTATTGGCGCAGTTCGGCTTGGTGGGGGCACCGAGGATACTCAGGTAAACTAGTATAGGTCATCTTGTGAAAACCTGTGAATTTCTGTGGCCAAAGCGGCCATTCACCTTGGACCAACAAGAGCAACTAGCGAAAGTGCAAAGTGCCCCTTCCAAGCCGAACAGCGCCGAATTTTTTTTCCCGCATACGCTTTCGCCTCTGATGTTTTCCCTCTATCGTATTGCTGAGCAAAGAGCATTTTTGCAACGAAAATCACAACCTCATCAGTTCTGGCGCTACTGCTGACGCTAGAGCCGTTTTTCACAAGTTTTTCTTTACACTGGGAGCTTTTGCAGATCGGCAGGCGCTCGATGCTCAATCGTACTGCGGGCTATCGGACTAGGGCACTTCATGGCAGTGGGGGGTCATCCTCTTTGAAAATCCTCCCTACCCCTCATCGACCAATTCTGAATGGAAGTGGAATGCGTGTCACATCCCAGAAAGGGGATTCATCAACGGCGAAGACTTTATCCTTTTATCCTTTTCTGTGGACAAGGCCAAAATAGAAAGCACCCCCTCAGTAGAACGGGAAGTTCATCTGCTCAAAGCGACTCAATCAAGTGGAAAATTGAATTCCAATTTCTTAGTAAGAGATAGAGAGGCGCACTTCCTTGTTCGATGTCAGCCCCATGACTGATGACCGCTGAAAACCCGTTTATCGGGAAGCCGGCTCAGACACTGAGATGGGCTTACAGAGGGTTAAATCTGCCTAAATCGGGAATTAGTAAAGATTGAGATGAGTTAGACCAATGTTGTTCCCGATACGTAGCTCAGAGTATTGTCAAACTCCCTAAGGGGACTTAAAACAAAGAAAATTCGAAAAAAAATAAAAAAATCATCAAAAATTCATATGTCGAACTGGTTCAGAAGTGGATAGCGCAGGGAACAGAGGCGCCCCACATTACCCAGGAGACTCCCGAGGATCACATTTGGCGTGAGTGCACCGAGCTGTTCCGGTGTCTCCTTGGTAGCCAAATGTGTCTTATGCAAAGCTGAACGCAAAATTGTAGCCAGAGCCTGCCCCAGCTGAACCTGAACCTAACCCTCGCGTTTCGGGAGGGTCTCCTGCCCATTACCCTCTCAGTGCAACTCCATAAGTTACTTATCCAACGAGAAGCTTTTTGTGAGTAATTCTAGCTCTTTATACAAGTTTTCAAGTTCAAGAGCACAGGCGGTATACAGAACACCCGAAAATTGCTCGTGAAATTATATGTGCCGGTCCCGTGAATGCACACGATTGGGCATACCGTAAGCCGGTCTAGTTACGCAGGAAGCGGGAGCGACACGCATTCCGCTGTCCATCCGTTCCAGGTGCTGCCACAGGCTAAAACTGAAGTGCACTGTCTGCACTCACAACTCCTAGGCACAATTCTACGCACAGTTTCGGATACTGTATCCCGCTTTTTCCTAAACTTATAAATCAGTAGAAGTTAATTGGACAGTTATTGATTGATCGATCATTTTTCTCGCATTTCAGGAGTTCTTCTTCGATCATGTCACAATCGAGGATCTCGACACGAAAAACATCTCAATCCAAGCGTTTCATCATGAGGGGGCTAAACTCGGAAAAGACCTGATGATCGGCGAGGCAATGGTTCCTTTGCGAGATATTCGTGAGCTGAACGCTAAAAAGGAGGTGAAAATCATCGAGGAGATCAAACAGACAGTGCCAAAGGTTCGTTTTAGCGCTTTACGAATTCATTTGATCACATAGAGCCTCTATCAGAAAGCATACGGTATGCCAAGAATCCATTTGGCACGGCTCCAGCTGCTGTCTACGGATAAGCCCAAACTTCTCACGCACCACTTCTTGCCCTCAGCAAGCCAAGATGGGACGTTTTTTTCACTGAACTTGATCGATATATGGACTCAAAAGCAATCTGTTGCCCAACAATCAATATCATCGATTGATGTGATTTGCGAGCTGCATTGAACTCGCTGAGCTCGGCTAGTTGATCAAAAAGCTTTCCTAGAGACCGTTATTTATTTAGTACGATCGACTTTAATCGATTAGATTCTCTATTTTCAGTCACTGACAAATCAATTGTATCGTCGATGACACTAATCAGATTATGCGAGTTCGCTTTGCTACAATAATTTGGGAACGATTGGCCTCCCTAGTGAAAAATGGAACAAGCCGAGAAGCAAATTAATTAATAATTAGGATAAGTCGCCAGAAATAAATTACAGTCAGAAAGAAAACAAATCCAAATTCCAAAAACTGGGGTCACAGGTAGGCTGCCGGACATTGGCGGTCTCACGCGTTTGATGTTCACCTTCCTTTTGGACTTATCACCTGTCTCATCCTTAGATTTAACACATTACAGCGGGGGCCAAAAAAAAAGTCAGTTTGCTCCATGACTTTTTCAAGGCGGTGTAAGGTTACACTTTATTCAATTTTTGTTTCGGCACATTTTTTACTACCATTATTAAGAGCAACATTAATACTATAATTGATACTCCGCCCGCAGCCTTGCTGGAGGAAGCACCATCGACGAATTCGTGCCCGCGGACAAGTGAGTGGGTACGGAGTTGAAGCGTAGATCGGTTGATTTCTCTGTCCGGCCACGCTGCTAGACCACACTCTTGAACTCGTCTCGACTAGGTAACTGAGGTGGATTCAGGGTTCAGGGGACATAGCTTTACTATTCCATCTTCCGCTCAGGTACGGGAAACGAACCGCCCTTCCATTCGAAGTAGGCGGGAGTTTTTCCAAAACCCTTCGATTCCATGTGGTGGCACCCAAACCTGTAGCAGCACAAGGTCTCCAAGAAGGTACGGGCGACCACATGTAGGGAGGATATTCCTTCTCGAGTTACTTGATGTAACCGCAGCGCTCACCTTCAGTCGGGGTCTACAAAAAGGAAAATATCGTTTAGCCTCTTCTCCAGGTACCCGGTCCATACCGATCCTCGCGCCTCGGCGCAAATCGTGAAGATGACTGCTCCTATGACGCGTTGAGCGACGTTGCCGTAGCTGGTCGATGTGGGAGGTCTTGCAGGTCAAGAGTACTGACCTCCAGGTAGCTATCTGTGGATGACTTCATTCAAGAAGTTTCGCAGCTGTTTGGAGGCGACGTGAATTCCAAAGGTGTTCTCCAGTCAGGCCGCGACTGGAGATGACTTCATATTTTGGTGTACATGAAGGCGATTGGCGGCAGCCTGCTCCAGCTTATAGAGGAAGATCTTGGGTATCTTCCACTCTGGTACTCATATCCACTTCCCCTGTCTGGGCTGCGAAAACTTCGTTGATATGTGGCTCGGCCGAAATGACTTTTTTTTTTGGCCCCCCCCTGTATACGCTTGAGAACTG